ACTTATAGAAAAAAAAACTAAAAAAAATGGAAACTAAAAATGTCCGTAAAAAGCTCAAAATAACTCAAAATATTTAGAAAATTTTATCATGTATAGAAAATGGAAATATAAATAACCAGTGAAAATTTCATATATCTACGGTCATTTGTTTTAAAGTTTAACGGTCATTTTTTTTAAATTTTCTCGAAAACAGATTTTGCGTAAAAATTCCCGTTTTTCCTTAATTTTTCTTTTGTTTTTCACGGCGCTTTTGAAAACTACTGTGAAATTTTTGCTTTTGACACTTTTACTGTCCTAAAAGATGATGACAGAAAAAAAAAAAAATGAATTCGTGAATTCGTAAACAGTTGTCAATATTTGTAATGAAAAGAAAAATTCCGAACCAATAAACCACGATAGCTTATAAATGATTGGTGAAATCCTGAAATAAACTGAGGGTGCTAGTTTGAAGCTTTGGGTTCTAAGCACCCCCAAGCACCCCCCTATGTGCGCCTATGGTAGGTAACAATACAAATAATTGAAAAGTTTCGGGCAGTACAACCCTGATCGATTAACTATAATAAAAAGAAACCTACTGAAAAATAAGAAAATACATACCTCGTGTCCGAATCTGCAAAATCTGCTATAAAACTTAGTCTTCGAAATACTACAACGTTCACACATTTCAGTCTGCTTATGATATATTATTCCCAGTTGAAAAATCTTCACTGACGAATTAAATACCATTTCTGAAAAAAACACGCAGCCTGCAGTAAAATATTCAACAATATTCTTATGACCTAAGCGTTACAGATATTATATTTTATATGTATAATGTTTAATCTGTAATATACCTACTTATCTATTATGTGTTAGTTTGTTTTTTAGAGCTGACTACGGGAGCAATGAATGTTTGATTTTACAATGATATGTATATGAATCTCGTAAAATAATGTTCTTATTTTGTTGTTATTCAACAACTATTAACCGTTGATATTTAAAATGTCTATATAATGTTTAAGCTATCATTTTCTATACATTATAAAATGTTTAAAATATTTCGACTCGTTTTCAGTGATTTATAGACATTTGAATTGTAAATAACTATTTTGTAAAGTAAAATTTATAAAATGTTCAACTTTCATTGCTAAGGATTGAAAATTTAAAACAAGAGATCTCATAAATAGTTCATACTGTAACCAAAAAATCTAAAGAATCAATTTAAAAACACAGTTAAATTGTACAGACATTATAGGTTCAAATTTTGAAGAAATTACTTATTAAAACAAAGAATAGCGATTTTAGATATTTTGTTGCAATTTAAAAATTGTAGGTATTCGTGGATTTATGAAACTTTTAGAGTATATCATTATAATTTATATACCTACACGATGACACTTTCAAATGTAATTGTTTGGGCAAAAATTGCTTTAACCTACTGTTGTACTAATGCATAATAGTAAAATAAATTACTTTAATCACAATATTATTTATAACTGTCTTTGCTCAGAGTCGTTTTTCGTTTGTTCGTTTGTATTTTAATAATTTATAAATGAATTTATTATTATTAATAATTATATTAGTTTATTTTATTTCATCAATTTATTTAATACTATTTACTAATAAATAATATATTGATTAATAATTTTGGAAACATTGTATTCGAGAAAATAAAAAAAAATGTGATTTTAATTAGTTTTGTAATGTACCCACCTATATGTAAAAAATAAATTAATATAAGAATAAATGTTGAATTTTTAGGGACATAATAGGTAACGCATTCGTGTATGTATTACACTATATTTATATATATACGAGTATATCAGTATATTATTCATAAGTGCGGACACGGGAGGATATGCAGACATGCAGTTGACCATTCGTGAACTTTTATGTGTACATGGTTATACGTCCCTACTTCCTATGATATAGATATTAGGTGAGCAATAGAAGTTGAGTAGGTATGTAAGTATGTTACACTAAGTTAATAGTTACCCATAACTTATAACGTTGGATTTGAAAAAAAATGACCAGTTATAAATTAAAATTGTATTTTATGACTATTATCAGTTAAAACATATATTTCTATAAATTAAACCAAAACATATGTCTTTTTCAAGTAAACAATTTTCATATTCACCTATTAATTACAATTATTCTACGACCGGGGACTGGAAAAAACATTTTATAAAATATAAATATATGCGTCTACAATAACACATATTTCGTGACATTAAATATTTATCTTAATTCTTAAAAGTAAATTTAAGCCCCAAAAGAATATGAAAACAAATTTACCTTAAACATCGATTCTTTCGGCGGAATCCGTAACGTACGTGTGTTCACTGCGAGGCTGACGAGGAAAATCTCCATAATATACAGAACTTAAAATATTGTGATTTATGAAAAATAAAATTATACGGAACGCAGTAAGTTTTTTGCTCATATCTGCTTTGCATATTGAAATTTTGGAATTTTTAATGACGACTGTGTCTTCTGCAATGACTGTGAGATTTGCCATGGAATATAAATGATAGATACTAGGCACGTCAATATGATGAATCCACAGATATCATATAGGTAACGCAACTTTTATATCAAAGAGTTCCGTGTGAAGGAACAATATTTGTTCGTTGAAATTTTATATGGCAAAAATCAAAATAGTTTATAATTTTGAATTTCAATTATAATCACCTCGATAATCACATTAAATATGATATATTATTTTAATTATTTATTAATATGGTGAATATATATCAGAAGTACAAGCATATTTTTATAAAAGCATAATATTGTATTTTAAAAATCATTAAATGAAAATGTGATTCCTGGATTTTAGAGTTAACATAAAGATATACAGTGCCTAAGTACATTACATTTACAGTACCTAGTACCTACCATAATACCAACTAGATTTGTAAAATTCCAAGTCTAACATTTCCTACGAATACTGCTGATCACAAAATTATTAATTATTATTTAATATTATGTTAATTTAATTGTGTCGGGTAGGTACCTATAATTTATATTTTAGATTCTGAGCGGAGCGATGAATATTTTGATTTTACTATGATGTGTATTTAATTTTAAATTTGTTTGTTATTATTTCTATTTTGTGTTTGATGCGTACACGATAAGTAGGTCTAGTCAAAATAAACCTTCGTGTTCCATGCATAATATATTATAGGTACTCAGGTACTCTGTATGTAATCAATGATCATAGTTTTATTTTTAAGTTTCTTTGTATTTAGTACCTAAATAATAATATAGGAAATTGTGTTTTCGAACATTAATTTTTTGTTTGTATCAAATACTTTCACCATAATAGGGAACTAAAATTGTCATTTATCGTTAAAACAACAAATTTTGTGAAAAATTCAATTTTGGTAGGTAAGTGTTTTGTGTAGGCATAATAAATGTTACATTAAAATTTAAAAAATCCAAAACATTACATTAATTGGATTATTAATTAGAATATAGGTACCTACTACAGTTTCCAGCTTCTACTACAACATTACGTTATATTATGTTTTTAATTATGAAAATGCTTAAAAATAAAACGTAAATCCCAAAATAATATGAAATTATGAAAACAAACTTACCCTGAAACATCGACTCTCCCGGTGAAACTTAGCTAGAGTGCATCATCAACAACGCAAACGTCCAGTACGTGACGCCACCGAAGAAACAGCTATCTTCATCTCGTTCCGAACTGTAACTTGAAATTATCGAAATATTTTATGAAAATTACCTGAACATAACGAAATGTGCGAATTCGTGTTAAAACTTACATAATAATATATACGGCTTAACGAACTATCTGTCCATATTGATGGCTTATTATTTTTTTTCACTAAAATTATTAGAATTGTTAATCGTCGCAGACGAATGTCGACAATTGGCGATTGCCATAGATGATATAAAATATATTTTTTAATATGATAAATCCATAGAACTTCTACACTCAGCACATAAACGGTCTATTGATAAATCGTTTGTTCTTTTACAGAAATGATTGTGGTCTGCAATGTAAATGCAGTTTCATTACTAAGAATTATATACTTACTAGCATGAGTCAACTAGTCTAATTTATTCATACGTACCTAACAATAAATTAGTAGATATACAATCTACCACACTAGGGTAGTAGGGTTCAAATTCTGGGGGGCTACATCCCACCTAACAAAACTGTTAATTAAAAATACCCATAGGGCTTATATCTAAACCAATAATTGATAATTTTGGGCTGGCTAAATCATACTCAGGGGACTAACCGTCTCCTAAGCCCCACCACGTTGCACCATCTGGATTAGAGGCTACTGTGAATACCACGAGAAACATAAATATTAAATGATCACTAATTATTCTCATTGATAATCAGTTTTTATAATTTTATTGAACATAATACAATATAGGTATACGCATTCTGAGCATACACACTACGCAGCCAACCTAAAATAAATACATTGTTATACTTATAAGAAATTATAAAAATATTTTTAAAAGTGAAAAAAAATATCAGGCATTTCTAATGTGAAATGCCTACTCATTTGTTCTTCATTCACCGCCTCATATTATTAAATTTACTTATTGTACACACATTGGTTTATCAACAACCAATGATTTTTTTTTAGCTACATATTATACCTTCAAAAACATGTTGAGTACTCATGACTTTTTTATTATAAAAATATTTATAACACTTAATACATACAGTATTTTATGCTCAGAAATATATAATTTTCAAAACGTTAAATATAATTACAATTTACATTATATAATATAAAAAGGGATAAAGTATATTAGAAAGGCTAGGGAACATAACTTTTAACAAAATTAAAATGTTTTCTCAAAATAATGTTATTTATAAATAAGTTAAAATTAAAATAGATAAAATGATAATACAATAGATTATCAATTTAAAGTTTAAACATGTTATTATGTTATATTATATTTTTGATTATAATATTTAAATATTCTAATGGGATCTAGCAATTTCTGAGAAATACTGTAATAGATCTTCAATGGAAAATTCTAATGAAATTATGGAACCAGGATTCTTGCATAGCTCTCCAAACCACCTGAAAAAAATTTAAAATTATAATATAGATTAAATTACATTTATTTTATTATAAAGGTAAAAAAGGTAGGCAAGTGTGTGCCGTTCTGCTGTACAGTGGATCACTCTAATGGATGGTGTTAAATTTGAACTCAATGATATAATATCATTGTATATGAAAAACGATTCTGAGCGAAGACAGTCAGTCAGCCATTGATATTACTAAGTATATTTGATGATATTATTGTAAATTCAGTAATTTATTTACCTATTTACCTGGAACCTTATTATACATTTTCAATCCTTAGCTATAAAAGTTGAATATTTTGTAAATTTTTAACTACAATATAATTTTTTAATTTTGACAAAATTCAAACTTTCAATGCTTGTGAAAAAAAATTGTGTGTATGAATTTTAATATTTTCAACTGCTAAAGTAACTAATATATCAGGAACCTTGAATTAAATTTTCATACTTTTTGACTCAACAAATAAAATCGTATTGACTATTATAGAAAATAAAACAAAAAATTGAAAATTGAAAATGGCCGTAAACAGCTCAAAACGAATCAAAAGATATTGAAAGTTTTATGGTGTATAGAAAATGTCAATATAAATATTCAATCAAAATTCTATGTATTTATGCTCATTTGTTTTCGAGTTACACCAAAAACCAAAATCAATTTTGTCAAAAACCGATTTAGCGTAAAAATTTACGTTTTTTCTTATTTTTTTTTTTTTGTTTTTCTGGCGTTTTTGAAAAATACTGGTAATTTTAAATTTTTACATCCTTGATGCAATGCACCAACTAGATTCACTTTTCCATCAAACAAGATACTGAAGATGAAAATCAAAACATTATTTCAACTACTTGTAGTGTACACACACAAACAATAAAAAAATTTAAAAGAACACATCATTGTAAAATCATTGCTCCGCTCAGAATCCAAAACAAAATTGTTTAGTCTTGGGTATATTAATCAGTACAAAATATAGTTAATACAAATAATAAAATAATATTGTGGGTTCAAAAATAATCAATGGTTTATGATGAATAACAAATAATTATATAATTACATAATTAACAATTAATAATAATTACTTGTAGTAAATTTTCTTCTTCACTAAGGTGTTTTTCTACGTTTTTATATAAATGATCGAAGCCTTTTTTCATCTCTCGTCCATGATACTCTTTGGTTACTTTCCTTAATTCTTGTTTACTGAAAGCCACTTGATAACCAACTTCTGATTCTTTTATACCTTGTGAAACCTTAGCTTCAACCTCAAAGAATAACTAAACATTGAACAAAATGTTAAAAATGAAGAAGTATGTTAAATGTAAAACAAAATAAACTTTTCATAGTATAAATGAATTAAAGTCAGTACTCACATTCAGTTTTTCGAGCGGTCTACCAAAATAACGTGTTACATAAGCACTGATGCCTCATTAATGCCTCACTATACTTTTGTTTTGCATCTTTTCTGAATTGATCTAATATACCAATTTTTAATTGAGACAGCAATGCATATAAATGGTGAAAGTTCTCTAAATCCATGAATGAACTATTAGTATTAATTTAGTTTAAATTTAATACTATTTATGGTTCTTACCCATTCTGATAACTTCGGAGGGAGTCTTAGGGTGTTCACTGGCAATTGAATGAATAGTTTCAAACATTACAGTTAAGAGTTTAAGATACCATTTATCTAAATCAGTTCGACGCTCTGTTTCTTTAAATATTTGTTCAGCTGTCTTGGCAAAATACTACAAAAATTAATAGTAAACAATAAAAAAATTATACGACAGCTTTAAAATTATGTCAAATTAACAACAAAAATTACAAACAATATTGTAGTTACCTCAAAGTTGGCAACAAAAGGAAGTATGCCACATTTAGACTTTTTGATAATTCTTACTTCTTGAATTGATTTTAAGTGAGCGTGCATGAGTTTATCATAATTTCTTTTTACATGAACTAATGCAGACCCATAAGTCATACTTATAAAAAGGAGCCGGTATCATTAGCAGACATAACATGACGGCCCAGTCTTACTAACACAGCCATTGAATAACTAAAATAATATAGTATATATATAAAAAATTAAAATAAAAAATATTTATAACCATAGTTATGTGCTATCCATTATTATCCGTTATAATATACTATAATTTATAGACTAGAACAACATATTGAGCTAGAAGAACATAAATTTAAGAAAGTATCACAATTCAAATATCTAGGATCAATTATCACCCAAGATAATGAACTTAAGACAGAGGTGTAGTCAAGAATACAATTAGCTAACAAGGGATATTATGGATTAGAAAAAATACTAAAATCGAGGACACTCTCTAAAAATTTAAAAATAAGAATGTATATGACATTATTACGACCTATTGTCCTGTATGGCTCTGAGCATAGGCGTGCGCACGGGATGTTCCGGGTGTGCCTGGGCACCCCCTGACATTTAATTGGGGCCCTAAAATATTTAATATTTATTTGATGTTTAGCATTGTACAAGTTGTTCATATGAACAGGTTGTAATATTTGAAATTAAATATTGTGAAAAGTAAATTCAGAAGTATCATGACCCAATACTGTTTGGAATCATTAATTTTACTTTTTACGGAACAAGAAATGGCCTCTAATGTTGAAGTAGATTTAGTTATTACTTATTAATGAGTTTAATAATTTAAGTAATAGACGCATATTATTATAAATCTATAACTGTTGTATTAGAATGTTAAATAAACATGTAACTAAGTAAGTAATATTTATTTGTACAATATAATTTACTAAAATATGTATTATGTACAATGTACATGTCTTGTTAAGAGAGGGCCCAAGTTAAGGAAAGGGCCCAAAAATATTGTAGGAAACTAGGAACCCCCCGAAATCCAGGTCTGCGCACGCCTATGGCTCTGAGACGTGGGCATTGAGGAAAGCTGAAGAACAGAGACTAGGGGTTTTCGAGAGGAAAGTTTTAAGAAAAATTTATGGACCGGTCTTTGACAGTGAAACAAATTAATGGAGAAAGTTACATAATTATGAACTCAAAAGACAGTTTCAGAGACCTGATATAGTTAAGGAGATCGCAAAAAGAAGACTCAGTTGGAGGGGCCATGCCTGGCGTAAACAAGGATCCCTAGTTAGACAGGTAATAGAGAATGAACCAATAGGTAAAAGACCTCTAGGAAGACCCAGACTGAGGTGGGAAGACTGTGTTAAAAAGGACTTAAAAATGATGGATCCAGGAATCAGATGGAGAGAAGCTGCAGAGGATAGGGACAGATTGCAAGATTTGTATTTAGCGGTATGGTCTTAAAGGCCGAAACCAAGAAAAGAAGAAGAAGAAAATGCATTTGCCAGCGGGACCCAACACCCCCCTTCAATTTTTTTTTTTTTTTAATGAGCTAATCATTTTGAATAGGTTTTTTTCTATTTCTAACGGTATATTTTTTTCTAAATTTCTTTTTTTGTTTTCTAAAATGAATTTGCCAGCGGGTGCCAACACCCCCCTTCAATTTTTTTTTAGGAGTTTGGCTTTAGTTGAATTGTTTGTATTGTCTTGAATATTGATAACCTGCAGGTGCCTATGAATAATCTTTCTTTAATAAGCTAATCATTTTGAATAGTTTTTTCAATTTCCTACTGTATAATTTTTTCTAATTTTTTTTTTTGTTTTCTAAAATGCATTTGCCTGCTGGCACCAACACTTCCCTTCAATTTTTTTTAGGAATTTAACTCCAGTTCAATTTTTTATACACACTCAATTGTTTTTTTTGATGAAGATTCTGAACATTTTAGTGTGAATTCTTTAATGTGTGTTCCTATAGCATAATTTTAGATTCTGAGCGGAGCGAGCAGTTGAAAAATATTAAAAATACATAGGCACAGTTTTTTTTTATAAGCATTTAAAGATCAAATTTTGACAAAATTTATCAAAATCTCGAAAATTATCAATCATTGTAATTAATAAATTATAAAATGTTCAGTTTTTATAGCTAAGGATTACAAATTCAACACAAAGGTTCTCATAAATAGTTCATACTATAACCAAAAAATCTAAAAAATATATGAACACACTTATTTTTTACAGACATTTTAAATTCAAATTTGGACGAAATTACATATTAAAAAACCTAGAATAACTATTTTAGTTATTTTGTTGTGATTGAATAATATTATTCGTGGGTACTTGAAACTTCTAAAGTGTACTATTATATATCTATGATAGTATCACGGTTTTTGTTGATGTATAACGCGTTATAAGTATCTAATGGATATTGTGATATGATTAATTTGGAATTTATTATAGGTAAATTTTTTTCAATACCTACTATAGATAAGTAGGTACCTATATAATATGTCTTGTCTTATACCTAGACTAACATACCGTCTCCGCTCAGAATCGTTTTTCTTATACAATGATATTATATCATTGAATTCAAATTTAATACCATCCATTATACAGTGACCCACTTGTAACCTACTGTACAGCAGAGCGACACCCACTTGCCCACCTTTTTTTTCTTAATTTTTTTTTGTTTTCTAAAATGCATTTGCCTGCGGTTTCCTATACCCCCTTCAATTTTTTTTTTAGGAATTTAACCCTAGTTGAATTTTTTGTATAGACTTGTGACTGTACATATCGTATAGGTGCGTGCACTTATCTCCGATGGTCGGGATTTCGGGAGCTCCTCGTTCTTGGAGCTCCGTTTCGAAATTAATCACTATATAGGTATAGCAGTTACGGTACGCTACGTCATCTAATTGAAAGATTGTCGGGCGGTACTGGTTTACTCACAAATACCAAAAAGACAACTTGTTTGGGAACTAAACTACCACTCGTTTGGGAACAGTTGAGCAGTACCCAAACACATGGGTGGCGCACAGTTACCTTTTAGACTTAAATAGTTTAGTACCTTGCATATTAATATTTGTTTATTAATAACTAATATGTAAATTATTAAATACTTACATACATTTTGCTTCACCCTTAACAGACTTAGTCTATGAATGTATTCATTTGTGTGGTTAAAAATGCATGTTAATACTTGTTAATTTTAATACTTGTTCAAGTTAAAAAGGCATTTTAATTTTAATATATTATTACCGTACTCTTTATCGATGATTATCATTTATCAGTACCCAACTACACAGATAAAATATAATTATTTTCGTGTGCGCAAACCAGTTGTACATTTAGTATAACCGTGTGCGCAAACGACTTCCGATTTTTGTAGTTTATTTTATGTACCTATAGGTATTGTATATTATGAAAATATACCCAAAAATAGAGCTATAAATTAGCAAAATAGCAATAACTAACGCAAATATGCAAAAAATAGCAAAATAAAACTTCGTGTATGACATCAGAGAAGTGTGATACATATTTGTATCTTACTTTGGATGTTCTAGGACGAACCAAGAAAAATATGCATTTGCTAGAACTTCCGAGCCCTGGTTATGACTGTATTCTCGGTTCTTTCCCACGCTAAACAGATTTTGCTACGTTGTACATTTGTAAGACAGAGACAACTCATGCGGGTGTAGTGTTCTCCATTTTTAACAAAGATCATCAGAAATAATGGTCCAAAATGTCAGTTAAAACCTTCCAGGACATACGTTTTGCTAAACGATCCAGACGATTCAAAGAAAGTAAATTATTTTATTAAAATATTATAAATTTAAATTTTAAAGTGAATTATGAATGAATAGGATTTTATGAACTGTATGCTCACCCTATTTGTATGCTTAAATTATACATATATTTAAATTCTGATTTTTCAATACATTAATTGAACTTTGAAGACCATATTTTCACATAGGACACACCTTAAGTAGTATGAAAAATATCAGAAGTATAAAATATGAGCTTTAGGTAGGTATACTTAAAAATTCTGAAAATAAGAATTTGAATAAATTTTGTACTAAAAGGTAAAAGGGGGTAGGCATGCTTAAAAAGCACCCTTCACATTTTTAATATTTTTGGAATGTAACCAAAACTAGTGAAGTACTTGTTTAACGTTTTTGACGTATAAACAAAACCTTTATTTAGATAAATTGAAAATAAGACTATGAGTGGTCAAACATTTTAAATTTATATAAATAGCATGGAAATACAGTCAAAATATTTTTTTAATTATATCGTGTCCAGAAAATGTTTTTATAATTAATATTTAGTTAAAATTACAAGTATTCTACGGTTATTTAATTTTGAATTACTATAAAAAATATCTATAATATATTAAAATATGCATAAAGACCAATCCTGAAAAACATGAATAAACTATTAAAGTATGTAGAAATTATATAGTTGTATAAAACATAAGTAATAGTTTATAAATTTGACAATTTAATCAAATAATAAGTGGGTATTTATTCAAAAAAGATACTGTTAAAATGTATAAAATATGTTTGTAATTTAACGCGACTTGAGCTATTAAGGTCCACACACTGCAATGAGCGCAATAGTGGAGGTAAAATTATTTTGTCTTGGCGGTGCCACTGCAGTGTTGATAAATTGTGTCCGGACACATTTTACCACTACAGTGTGTGGGCAACTTTATTAATTAAAATAATCAATTGTGGCTGAACTATGGTAGGCCAATAACCTGATTTGGCGATTTCAACATTCGAGAAGATCAAAAGTGTATAAATTAAAATTATTTAAATGTTGGCAACTGACAAGAATGTTTAGCTTTCTGCACATTCTGAAATGAAATTAATAATGTGCGGATAAATCTGATAAATATGTATTTAAATGTAACAGCTGGGTTTCACACTGTGATCAGTTTACAGAATTTAGAGTAAAAAAAATTATATATTTATGTATATATAAACAAATTATTTTTACAAATATTTATGCAATTTATTTATTTCTTCAATGTTTGAATAACTATTATACATAGTTCAGCAATAGGTATTCGATCTTCAGGACGATTGTCCACACAGAGAAGATGAAATAGTCACCAGTGGCTTAAGAATGGATCACCCAACATTTAACGGTCTAGAAACTAATATTGAGAATTCTTTAAACAAAACTAATTTCAATAAATACAATAACTATAATCATTTAAAATTTTTCTTATACAGTATTAAATGTAACCTTATCATCTGGTTTGCTCTCTAGAGAAAATGGAGGTATTCGACAATCAAATAAATGTCCATCTTCACGTTCCATTCGAAATGTTCCCCTAAAAATAACAAAATCAATTATATATTTAGTTTAAATACAGAGTATATTGGCATATTGTATACATTAGTAACTAGTCGTTAGTAAAATCTAAATTCTTAATATGAATTCTACTGTCTACTCAGTTGCTCAGTTAGGGATGCGGAAAAAAAAGTTGTTAAGAATTTTGTAAAAAAAATTAATACAAGGTCTGTGAACACTACGAATCCGGGTGGTCACCCATCCGGGAACTAGTGGCAGCAAATGTAACTTACTCTCAAGAGTCAATCACATTGCATGATTGATTGAAGCCACACCGCAAAGCCACACATATAAAATAATATATTATTAAGTTTAAATAAACAACTAACCACATGTGTCCACTAGGAGCTTGTAAGCTAACATGACTACTGTATTGAAATGCTGGTGATTTTTTCGAGAGCAGAGGTTCTTGGCCCACTACTCCTCTTCCACGTACAGTCTCTAATGTTCCAGATAAACTAAATATTCTCCAATGTCTTTCTCTAAGTTGAACGCTTTGTTCACCTAAATTTTCTAATCGTATACAATATCTCCACTAAACATAAATTAATCATCTGATTATTACTAAATAATGCATATGAATAAAAGCTTCCACATATCACTTACCCAGTACACAGAATTTGTTTGGGATTCTCTATAACCCATGTAGAATGGTATTACTGTGATCCTAACATTTTCTGTAGTTTCTTTATGAACATCTGACAACTCCAGCCATGGATGATTTTTTTTTTGCCATGATCTCAATGTTTCCTGTGCCCCAAATGGTGGATCTACATTGAAACAAGATTGTATAGATAATATTATATAAATTAAAAACTTGAAATGTATTTTAAAATCATTAACTGATGGAAAGATCTACAACTCTACCAGTGTCCAGTACAAACCATAATTCAAGTTCTTGAAATAAATTTACCTATAATAACAATAATACCGTAATAATCATTTACCTTTATTAGGATTATACATGAGGAATTTATCAAAAAGTTCATGTTGTAACGGTTGTTTTTCAGTTGCTGTGTATGGAAGTATATCTTCCTGAGCTACATAATCTAGACCAGGTATCGCATACAAGCTACGACTGGTATCCTGATTTCCGAGAAAAGTAACTGCTTCTGTTTGTGCCCTCTAAAAAATATTATAAAAATAATAAGCTAATTTGGATAAGTATTTTTAACTAAATTACAATAAATGGACAATCTCTTTCATCTATCAAAGTTTGATAATACGTGTGTGTCTTTCCTTTAACATCTTTTCCCGCCGCACTAAAATAAAAAAAAAAATAAAAAGTTTGAGTTTATTTTAGCTTTTATCATGTTATACTACAATAGCCTAGTGGTTAATCATAAAACTGTTAGTAAATGCACAAATCTAGTTATATATTATATTAAGTATTACTTTTCTGCTTTGATGACAACATCACGGTCGTATACTCTGGCTAACCACGGAAACAATATCACCCCTCTATATCCAAATATCTGGTGAAAAAACAACTGACCAGTTTCATATTTTTCAATAGGCTTTGGTGTATTTAACTGACCCACTTCTACTAATCTAATAATAACATAACCATACACAATATCAATTAGGAACACATTTTCTATTACAATTTACATATATAAGTCAGAGGTTAAAATGTATCAAATTTTAGACTGCAATGATAAATATAAGTAAAACAAAGTTATTTAGTGTAAAATATTTCAAACTGTTAAAATAAAATTAGGCTTTTAAATGTATAATGCAGTCTTCAAATAAAGTGGTACTGTATTATCATTTTAGTACAGAACAATGGTATTAGTAGTGTTGTACTGTATAGTATAATGTACATATTATATTAAAGAACAATTATATTACCTAACATAATAACGTTTGCATAGGCACAATATATTGCTTCTTCCAAAATGTTTAAACATTTTTTTTTTTTTTATATAAACTAAAACACTTGGGTAATTAGTAATTAGTAATTTTATTAATTAACATATTATAATAATATATTATTATATACAATTTTTAGCGGATAATGGATATACAGTAATTGTATACACATAGATAATGTTATCACAGAATATAATAATGATATAAAACGGATCACTACCTTTTGTTCCATAATAATTTGTTCCAATATTGATATCACACTTTTGAGGACTTTTGTTCCACCAAATATTTGTTCTAAGTACCTACCACGATTAATGGCTAAATATTTAGCCATGGATTTACCTATATTAAGTGCCTCGTGATACCTACTCTTAGACCCATAAAGATTGAATGTTCTACTAGATCACGATCGGCACACGTTATCGAGTCTATAACTTACCTACGTTACTCACTACTCAGTATGTACCCTATACGGCTATATGTCATATACCTATTATTTTAAATTTCCATTAGTGGGAGATTGATGGTCCAATAGTCTATACTATAGACTCTATAGTCCCATGTCCTGCAACAGAGTTAACAAATATGTTTAGAAATTAATAGAATACACCATACAGCAGTACACAATGGTTCAGTACAGAATATGTCAATATTATACATGAACTAATTAAATGCACATTACTCGAAAAGTGTATTTTAAAGAATTATTATAAAAGTTTAAATTATATAAACATTTTCCCAATAAGATTTTTAGGATTATAATACTATACTATGTATAACTGAAAAATAAAATCTGACAAAAAAATTATCACTAATGAATTAATATTGGTCAAATTGTCAAGTTTTAATGATTATTATTTTCTGAGTAATAATTATAATAGAATAAACCAAATATATTTATGTACCTACTACCTACTAAGTAAAGAGTTTTCGGTATTTTATTGTTTATGTTTTTTACTCAAAGCTCAGTGTTTGCTCGATTCAGTGGCGTATCTACGATTTTGGCACCCTAGGTACACACATTTTGGCGCCCCTTTTTTTCTCAGTTTCCTTTCACATTGCCACAAAAAACTTTTAAGCCCCCATCTAATTATAAAATTTACTTTTTCTCTTTATTACAAGTGATACCCCAAAATGTATATTATTTTCATTAGTGCACTAGTTTAGAGAACACTTTTATTTTACCATTACCATTCTATTCATTCCTAATAAGAAAGCTTAAAGGGTCAACCTTTATAATTAATAACATAAATTATAATTTCAGATCTTACCATTTTTAGATTCTGAGTGAAACGATGAATGTATTGATTTTACAATGATGTGTGTTTTTTTTTTTGTGTCTGTGTACACGATAAGTAGTCGAAATAATGCTTCGATTTTTGACTTCAGTATCTTGTTCGATTGGAGAGTGAATATCGTTGTACATTGGGGAGGTCAAAATTTAAAATAATTTTATAATTTATAATAATTTTCACAAGCGCCGGGAAAAAACAACATAAAAATTAAGGAAAAACGGGAATTTTTACGCAAAATAGGTTTTTGACAAAATCGAATTTGGTTTTTGGTGTAACTTTAAAACAAATGACTGTAGGAACATGAAATTTTGACTGGTTGTTTATATTTTCCTTTTCTATACACGATAACATTTTCAAAATATTTTGATTTATTATGAACTGTTTAGGGACATTTTCATTTTCCATTTTTTTTTAGTTTTTTTTCTAAAAATATCAATAAAACTTTGTTTGTTGAGTAGAAATACTTGAAAATTTAATACAAGGTTCCTACTATATTGTTTCAAAGGCAGATGAAAAATATTAAAAATCGTTAGTCACAGTTTTTTTTTATAAGCATTTAAAGTTCAAAAATTGAAAAATCACGAAAATTAGCAAATTATTTTGAGTTAAGAATTCGTAAAAATTTTTCTTTTAAATCTAAGATTTGAAAATGTAATACAAGATTACTCATAAGATTATCTACCTTTATCAATAAAAAAATCTCTACCGGACAGTCAAATTAAATTTCACTAAATGTTTGTATAAGCATTTCCTATACACCATACAATTTTGAAAATATTTTGACTCTTTTTGAGCTGTTTACGGATATTTTCATTTTTAAATTTTTTAGTTTTTTTTTCTATGAATATCAATAAAGTTTTATCTGTTGGGCCAAAAAGTGTAAAAATTTAATACAAGGCTCCTGATATATTGTTACAATATCAGTTGAAAAATATTAAAAATACATCGGCACAATTTTTTTTTATAAGCATTTAAACATCGAATTTTGACAGAATTCTTCAAAATCTCGAAATTTATTAATCATCGTAATTAATAAATTATAAAATGTTCAATTTTTATAGCTTAGGATTGAAAATTTAAAACAAGATTCCACGTAAGTAGCTAATTCTCTTACCGAAAAATCTAAAATATATACAATCACAGTTTATTTTTATAGTCATTTTATGTTCAAATTTGGACGAAATTACATATTAAAAAACCTAGTTATTTTGTTGTGATTATATAATATTTATTCGTTGGTACCTACTTGAAACTTCTAAAGTCTACTAATTACTATTATATATCTATGAGAGTATCAGGGTTTGTTATTGATGTTTATGTGATAATGTGATATGATTAATTTGGAATTTATTAAAGGTAAATTTTTTTTTAATACCCTAGATATGTATATAATTTGTCTTGAACCTAGACTGACATACCGTCTTCGCTCAGAATCGTTTTTCTTATACAATGATATTGAATCATTGAATTCAAATTTAATAGCATCCATTATACAGTGACCCACTTGTAACCTACTGTACAGCAGAGCGACATCCACTTACCCACCTTTTTTCCAAATTGTACTTATGACAATATAATAATAAAATACAAAAAAAAATATATATATATATGTATAGAAATGGAAAGGATATAATAAGAAAAGATGAAATAAACTAGATTAGTCAACAACGATCATATATTTGTGACAATATTATAATAGAGAATTTATGATACAGGTTATCACTAATATATTTTCTCAATAAATCCAATAAAATAAAATAAAATTATTTTTATTTTTTATAACTTCATTTTGAAGACAATTTAACTTCTACAACGGCGCCCCTTTAAGGGACTCAGAATTTGGCGCCCCGGGGCAATTGCCCCCTGTCGCCCCCCCCCTAGATACGCCACTGGCTCGATTACTACCTGAACGTCTCAAATATAAATAATGAAATTTTTATAATACTTGTATCACTTACGAGTTGACATCGGCGTTCAACGTGTTAACTGTTAAATAACGAATGACTGTGTAATACCATTGTTCTATCTTCTATGGTTGGTAATACCTAATACCTATTATTATTTTTTGGAAGTATGTATAATTTATACATATTTTATGTTCATGACTTATTTTTCATACACTTATAAGCAACAGCCAACACTCAACAGGGCCCGGGGCAAGAAGAGTTAAGTACTTAAGTATAAATTCTTCATAATCGTGATTCGTGGTCATGAGATGGCTGACTAATTCTTATCAGTTATCAATGAGTTTTTCCGCTGTTTGTCGTGTGGGTAATGTTTACATCAGAAGATAATAAGAAATATTATAATCTCTTCATCTCAGTTCATCGTTCTATTGATTTGATTTTAGGTGATAATAAATTAAAATTACAAACACGGTGTAAATTTAAAAAAATATGAATATTCAATACATCTAAGACATAAACTATTAATCCTGAGATGAAATACTGCTTTTTAACTTTTTACTTAAGAGTTAAGTTGTAATAAATCAATTAGTTAATAATGTTCGACAGCCATCCGACGTAATGTTAAACAAAAAATGTTTTGTCTACAACTTACTAATTGAACTGTTTGAGCAATTTATTGAATTATTTACAATTATCTGTATTTATTAATTCCACTACTTCAATCAAAATCAAAATGAGTACTAAAATCGAATTTACTATAAAGCAAAAGACCGCTTTTGATCCTAAATGGCTTGCAATAGAACTTCATGAGGCATTGGACGAAAACCAACTTACCAATTATTGGAATGAGATGATAGAAGATTCTGAATTGATGCCTGTGGACAATAGCAATTTATTGCATTCAAAAAAAGGTTTAACATGTCCACTGTAATTGAATGTATATACATTTTAATTACAAATAAACATTTGTCTTCTTTTAGTAGAACCATCTGGTCGATATTACATTGGTCTTTGGGCAGTAAACTGCCCATGCAAAGATGACCCATCTGACAAGGTGTGTAATTGTATTTCTTGTAAATCTGATGATGTCAGTGAAACACTCAAGTCCAAACAAATGTTTGAATCTCTAATGTGGAAACCTAATTGTAGTAAGTTATTCTAATATATATATGTATATGTTCCCATCAATGTCGGAAATCAGTTATTATCAGTAATGACTACTTAGTCAATATTAACAGTGGCTAATTAGGTAAGGCAATGCTGACAATGGCTACACAATATATTAAATGCCTACAATTGATATTCAATGTGGGTAATATTTCATTTATTTATTAAAATATAACTTAAATCGACAAAATTATGTATTATTATCATACAAATATATTTTATTTATTTTCACAAGATAAACTACTATGGCACTTCGAATTACATAATTTTTTAGCTGCTCGACAAGCATATCGATTATTTTGACATTTTGTTTTACAATGGCACCTTTGATATCCCTGACTCCCAGCAATACTGTTATACCCAGTAGCCAGGAGAGTAATTTCCTTTTCTTGCTCTGAAATTGTTGTCCTCTTCAAATCAAGAAAGTTTTTGTCACATGGAACTATTTCAGTTCATGTGTATCTGTGCTTAAAGAAACCATTTTCTGTATCTAAAATTGTATAAATAAAATAATTTATATTTTTATAATTTTCTCATTTTTAAATTTATTGGCTGACATAATTTGTGCAAGCCATCTTGAACGTCTGTGACAACAGCCAATAAATTCGGAGAAGATCCACCTGCGCACGTGAAGTAAATGTAATATAGGTTTGGAAACTAGTCCTCTTT